GGGGGGGGGGTATTAAATGCATCATTTCACTGTATTAAGAAAGGATACAGTACATATAGAACATGCAGGTCTTGCTTTCAGATCCACATTTGACTTGCAATGCTCGAGAACACTTCTGTACCTAGTGATTCTAAAGCTGGCCATACACTAGTAGATTTCCGAAGAACTTTCGTACGAAAGATCTTCCCTCTCGATAATGCCATCAGACACTTGACAAATGTCGCTTGTAATTTTCGTTTTGATTCTAACGTTCAATGTTGGAATGAATGGAGTTTCCCGAACGAAAACCACATTCACTGTTAGAATTTTGTTCCTTTAAGAAAAAAAAAAAATCCATCCTGCTCCTTCGAGTTTTTTTTTCGTCACTACAGTCAAAATTGATCATCGATTTGACCCCATCAACTAATAGAAAGTCGAAAGAAAGATCTTTCATACGAAAGTTCTTATATACCAAAAGACTCACCTGCATGCAGTGGTAGTGTGTGCTTTTCCCATTTAGATGGCAGCCATGATAATAAACACTGCAATCATCTAATGGACTGAAACGCATGAAGCCGTGCTGCAGAGAATTGTCGCGTTTCTTGTGCATGTTGTAATGGCGGATCACATCTTGCTTACTGGTGAATCTCTAAAAATTAAATTATAAAGGAAGTTTGGATTATACAATATTTAGTGTGTCTTGGGATATTAAATGAAGGTTGATGTATAAAAATGACTCGACTTTTGGCAGCCGGTCTGACCTCCGTTTTTCATTTTCTCTATTTATTAAAAGTAATGTACTATTTGGTTGCTATGAGCAACAAATGAACTTTTACTCTTGGTCCAGTTAAAATTTAGGTGCATAGTATTAAAGCTTACCTGGTAGTTACACTCCGGGTCCAGACAGTGGTAGTGTTCCCGGTACTGATATGCACAGTGAATGTGACCGCAGTGTTGGCTTCCTGAAAATCTGTAAGGAGAGTCATACAGATGTATATCATGACCTAAAACCATTTAGGTTCCTATAAAGGAACTTCTGGCAATAATTGCTAAATCTGTAATTTTATTTTCTTGGGGTAACTATCACTGGAATTTTACATTAAAATGATTATTTCTGTCAATTCTATGTCAGTAGCTCACAGATTTGTATCTATTGTAATCATCAATCCCATACCAGATGAGTGATGCACCCTCTGTCTCTAAGATGTCCAAGTGACATTTTCCCGGGACCCCAAACAGTTTACTAATGTTTTGAAACCTCAAAAAACATGGGGTTCATGCCAAAATCCAACAGATTAAATGGTAATTCCATAACGACTAAAAAAATGAATTCTGGGACCAATTAAGGGGTGGCAATTAAAGATCTACATACCCCTGTATTAGGTAATACAACCTTATGGCATTAGATAGAAATGTATCCCTTGCATGGCCAGCAGTTTGAACTATCTAGAACAGCAAAAGATGACACATGGAACAGGGTGAACAATGCTAACAGAGGTCAATATTGTTCATCCTGTTCCAGGGGCAATCTACTGCAGTCACACAAGCAAAGGCCAAACCACATCAGCAACACTCATCTGTCTGCAGTCAGAGCATACTTCCCAAATACAAGTGGCTTCTTAATTGGTTGCATCTCCATGAAAATAGGTTAGTATTGTTATTAGAGAAATATTTGAACATAGACGTAAGGCGACTCAGCCTACAGATGGAAATAATCTGACATACCAACCACACTCCTACCTGGCAATATATTTCTGGTAAATATTTACATCTTCTGGGGGCTTGTCTGGGGGTAGTCCATTCCTGGTGAGAAAGACAGGGCAGAGCTGGTTAGAGTCCATTCAGCTCCCTATCCAGCTCCATCTCATGCCATGCTCCCGGATCTGGATATTAGTATCTCACATTCAAAAGCAACTATCCCGCATTAATACAAAAAATATAAGCCCTCCCACCAATCCTCGCATTATATTGTTCTCATCCACACAACCTTACACAAGCTCTATTTATCACGTACCCAGATAAGTTCCCATTTTCATACAAATTTTCTACATTTCCCAACAACCAAATCCTCAAATATCTCACACACATTCTTTATCTCCTGCAGTTTTGCATCATTCACTGAGCTCCCCCAATAAGTATAACAATACAAAAACGTTTTTATAGATAGTATTTAGGTGATCTATATATTATGATTACACATTTACGTTTACTAATAGATTTATGTATAAAAATCGCTATAAAAATCAGCCGTATATAAAGGGTACCCATATTAGCCCAGTTTGAGTGTAGCCAAATGGCAAAGTACTTACTTCACGGTGGAGACTGTTCCTGTAGTGATGGAGTCTGTCTTAGAGAAGGTTGATTTCAGATATTCTGGAGTGTTGAAAGGCAACGCTACTGGTTGCTCAGATGCAAGCACAGGGGTGGAGGGAGTGCTTGTGATAGGAGCAGGGGGCATACTTGGGACAACCGCAGCGGCTTTCAAGGGCGTATGCTTTTGAATATTTCGTACATCGTACTTGGAAGGCCGCCCGACTTTCCCTGTTTTAAAAGCTATAGAGCCTCCCATGTCCTGGTTTCCTTCTCCTGGTTTAAAAAGGTGAAGATACTTGACATTCTCCAGGTCATATTTGGAGGGTTTCTTGTATGTGTTTCCATTTTGTGGTCTCAAAGACTCTCCTGTTTTTAGCTTCTGGATAAAAAAGTCATATTTGGAAGCTCGAGACATAAGGCCTTGCATATGAGAGCTGCCAGCCGTGGATAGAGGCAAGACAGTTGTTTTCGGTTCTTGCAGAATTACTGCCTCATGTACTGGGGCTCTGGTAACCAGTGGCTGCGGTGATGGCTGAAGAGTCGTTGAACTATCTTTGCTCTGTATGGGCTTGGAATTCAGTTCTTCAGCCTTCACAACTTGGGCAGGCCAGGACAGATTCTCTCCGGCTTTCAGTTTCCGAATATACTCCTCATACTTGGAGAATCTAGCTCGCTTACTGAGGGGGTCTTCAGCAGAGGTGGTCTCTGAGGTAGCAGCATTGATCTTCTCAAAGCTAATTTTCTTTGCAAGCTCATCCCTTACATTAGGTTGGGTGTAGCCAAACATCCCAAGGAACTCGCTCATAGTGTTGGCTGCATAATCTCGCAATGAGGAAGTTTCTCCTGTGAGTGGAGAAGAGAAATGTTCAGTATCACAGAGCGCACAGCTTGTTCTGTCTTTTTCTACACACGATTCTGGCTCTCTTACAAGGTTTTATGACTTTAGATTAATTCGTAAAAAAAAAAGTAATTAATACTAGAGTAAAATAAAAAGGAGTTCATCAATGGCAAGAAAATCAATTTCCTGAATGTTCTCAGCAATGGCTTTTCAGTACATTAAACAAAGTTTTCATATGTCTCTGCTCTCCTGCCTTGGCCTAATATGTACAAAAGTCATTCTGCTGGAAATGGAGCCAAGTCTTCCCTGTCAGGATGCATGCAGAAGCTGGAAATTAGTGAATGTCTAATTTTAAAAAAATATATATATTTTTTTTTATGTGAATAGACCTTTCAGGTTTATTTCTTATTTTATCTTTTTAAAAAAAAAAGCCCAACTGATATTTATACCACAAAATATTGAGCAGAAAATTAATCCCAATACATTTCTAAAATTGTGGATTTTGAGCCACACATGTAAAGGCAGTACGCTGAATGTTCAGACAATGATCCAAAAAATGAATGAGGAACTCCTTTTAAACAAGACATTATAAAAATAAAAATAAAGTAAACCTTCACACTGCACGGATGGTAATGAATGTTGTTGATCTGACAAATGAAACCTAAGTTTGCCCAGCCCAATCATTATGTGCTGTTCTATCGCCTGGAATGTTACGTCATACATGCAGGCTGCTAGTTGTCATATGTTAGTTCACTACTGTGAGAAAATACTACTACAGGTAATTGTAAACAAATTATATTTTTAACAGTAATGTGAAGTTGTACGCATGCCTCGCATGAAACACTATATTTGTATATTTTGGTGTTATTGAAATTTAGGGGCAAGAAAATAAATTCATGCCTCATCACTTGGAGGGTGGCCATTTTGTGTTTAATACTACAGATAATTAAATGATTCTTGCAGCAATCTAACTATAGGTTACACTCGATGGACTTGTGTCTTTTTTCAACCTGACTAACTATGTAACACAATACCCTAATTCATAATTCTGATGTAAACTGAAATTTTGTTTGCTGAGGGTTTGTGCACTGTACACATCATCAGTGAGCAGGACAAGGGACCCATTAGCCAGGTTAAACACACAGCACCATGGGGCTGATCTATAAGAAAGGCAATAATGAAGTATGGGCAATCAAAAGCAAAATCTGACTGATTTTAATGCACAAGCCCCAATGTTCATAATCTAACCAATCTCCATGAATATGCTTATTAATGGCATACATACAAAACATTGGAGATTCTGCAATTAAAACCAATCATTTCTTTCTTTATGTTGTGTTTGTGAAGCTAGAACGTTCTGTTGCCAAATAGGTTTTTGGATGTAAGGATAAACATAAAAGTGTAGGCAACCGGCTTAACCCAAAGCTGAAATACATAAACTGTATGTGAACTGTTCAGCCATCTCAGAAGATGTGTCAGGATGGAGCTGCTGGAGAAAATGGACAATCTCTTCATTAGAGGTTCCGTTTTAAAACTGCATTGCACGGTGCTGTCAGTCTAACGTGGTTCAGTTACATGAAGGTATTTAGGGACAAGGGGAGCATAGTGTACATATTTCAGCTCATGGCTAGCGGTGTGCATGGAGTTCTACTTTATTTTTATTTTTTTTGTATTATATTTCTTTATTGTTTCTATATATAACATACAGACATATAAACATGTAAACATCCTGTTAAAAGACTCTCCCAAGGAGAAATCCAATCAAAAACAGAAGAGAAAGATATTCATAACTTCTTCCTAAAACAGCCACCATAAATTTCCCTTCCCATTGGTATTAAAACCATTCTTCCCCCCCTAGGGGTCTCAACTAAAAAAAAAGAAGCAAGGAATAAGACAGCCCAAAATCCCTCCAATTACTAAACCACCCAAAAAAACAAATAAGATGAATTGAAAAGAAGAAAAAAAAGGAAAGGAAAAAAAGTCACAGTCTCATCTCCTCATTCTACTTTATTTGTTGCCATCTTCCTTGTGTGGCCGTTTGAGGTACTCGTTACTTGAGTATAAAATAAAATACTATCTTTCTGTTGTTTCAGCGTTGCTTGTGTTAAATCACGCTTTGGGCATTACAATACGGAAAGTTATATTTGACCAAAAATGGTGTTTGTAACACATATCCCTCAGCATTGGCTGCAGAAAAGGAGAAGATGCCTTTAGCTGGAGTAGCACAATATCAGTGAGCTTATTAGTGAAAGGAGAACCAGAGCTGGAAACAGATTTCTACAAGCACCTTCCCCCTTCCCAAATCAAAAACAATGGTTTTGGTTTAAAATGTGTTGACCATTGATTTGAGAAATGAGTAACATGGAGGAATGTGAAGGAGTCAATAAAACTGGATGTAGAACATGTGCTGTCTGTGATGTTCTTGGTCACTTGTCATTGTATTATAATACACATAGGGAGACATTTGTTAACTCCGTGGCACGGCCAGGCCAAGCAATGCTGAACAGGAGACAATTTGAAACAGAATTGAGACAGATTTAAGAGAATTAAACAGTTTCATTCATAAATTTCTACCTCGGCAGCTCTCAAGTAGCACCGCGACAGAATAAAACCTGCCCCGACCACTTCTTAATTGTGCGTCTGTTTTGAGTGGAAACCCATCTCGTCTCCAGTGATAAATCTGTGTCAGACCTGTGCAAATCTGTCACAGATGACTGCCCAGTATTACAGGCACAGGGGTCCCAAATACACATAAAAACTGTCGCATAGAATCTGATGACAGACAACCTGATTTGCTTCTACAGTTGTGGCTAATGTGCTTGATAAATGTCCCCCAGAGTGTTTATGACCATTGTAGATAGGTGCTTTCTTTGTACATAGTTAAAGTACGTTTGTTTGGGTTTATTATGTTGTTGTTCAGGACGCTGGGCACATTACATTAAATGTTTGTGGTTTGAAAGCAATTAAGAACGACAGTGCTTTTCTCTGTCCTCACACACGGTAGGGAAGGCTCCCTCCCCCCCAGTGTCCCTTGGTTAGATGCTAAGGGACACAGGCATAGAGATATAAATAGCACTTTCTGACTATATTTGGAAAGAAAACACTAAAGGAGGAGGAATCATTTTTGATCTGGGATCCCACAAGAAGTGGTCGTGTGTACTGTACGCCAGCAATTGTGAATCTCTGTAACAGTGCACACGATGAGCCGAGTCACCTTGTCCCATAGAGGGAAATGCTTTCCTATGGGCGTCTGTTGAAGGTCACACATCTTCCCATTGATCTCACAATGTTTGTTAATTACTTTGTCACTGATGTGGTGAAGGATAATTAAACAGCTCTGTTTATATCTTCATGCATAATTATGAGCCTAGCACTGCCACTCGCAGCGAACCAGCAGACAGCCAAGCCAACCGTCTGACCGCCTAAACACTCAGAGACAGAGACTGCAGGCTGGCTGCTGTCTGTGTGACTGTCATGGCAAACATACAAGTACATGGAGAAGGAGCAATAGTAGGGCTACAATGGCATTTTTGATAGAATGAAAGCTATATTCTATCCAAATGTATGAATTATGGGCTACTGTTTAATTAGTGCTAGCCCCTATGAAAATCAAGACAGCAATGAATGTATAGAGATAAAAATAAAACAAAATATTGTATCAGTACTCATTAACTTCTTCTGTAAGCCTACTGGCAAATTTGCCCCATAATTCTTTCCAGTCTTCTTATTCCTATTCACGTCTGATAATACTGTAACAATACAAAAGATGTTTGGAGAAAGTGAGTGAGTTGCAGATGTATTGCTCGCGTAGACTATCCTGGTGATACCTGGAAGTAAGAAAGCAGCTCCTTCTGTGTACATGAATACAGCGTGTACACATGGTATTACGTGATGCATGCAAATTTAGAAAAAGGTTCTATAGCACATAAAAGGGAAGGAGGAATGTGCTGTGTAACAATAACTATAGTTGCGTAGTACATATACATAGTTAAAACATTTTTCCTGTTTGTTCAAACAAGTCGGAAACATAAATGCTTGGAGCTTTATTTGGTTTTTAGGATTGATAGTATAACTCACCGGAAGGTGCCCCTGAGGCAATTTTTGCAGGTGCCTCTGGTTCCTTGGGGACTGTCTTTTCAGGCTCTTTCTCACCCAAGAACCTGCTGGTTTGGGAGACCTTTGATTCCTCAGTGTTGTCTTCTTCATCACTGCACCCCTTGGGTTGTACCATGTAGACACCTTCGGGCGGAAGCTCAGCCAGACCTATTCTCTTATAGTCTTTATTCGTCTTTTCGAGGGGTTCATCTGTGTACTCCCCATTGACCCATTTCTCTATGACCTCCCTACGGCGCTTGTCTTCCTCTGCTCGCTGATCAGAAGTGAGGCTGTCAGTGATATCTGCTTCTCGTTTCTGTTCTCCTTCTCTTTCACTGCTCTCCAGTGGCCCAGGTTCAGCATCTCCTAGATCTGATCCGTGTTCTGATACAACCTGCCGGCTTAGTTTGGCACAGATAGCATTTAGTTTCAGGCCGCCTTTGCGTTTGGCAGCCATCTTCGGCTTTCCTGAGGCTGTGTCAGTGCAAACACTTCTTTCAGCTGCAGAAAGAGAACAGAAGGGGGAAAAAAACAGAAATGTATCAATATTTTACTTTGACTTTTCATAAAGGTGACATGCCAAATGCAGACCACTGATTGATAACAAAAAACAGACCAAATACTGTGTGCGTGTTCAACTGGTATGGGGAAAGATTAGCTGACCTGAATTTGTTCTCTCTGGAGAAAAGGCGATTAAGGGGGGACATGATCACTATGTATAAATACATAGATGGTCCATATAGTGAGCTTGGTGCAAAATTATTCACTTTAAGATCACTGCAAAGGACAAGGGGGCACTCTGTGTCTGGAATAAAAGAGGTTCAACTTAGGCATACGGAAAGGATTCTTCACAGTAAGAGCTGTGAAAATGTGGAAGAGACTACCTCAGGAACTAGTTCTTGCTAGCTCAGTCTGGATGGATTCCTAAATACACAGAATATTACTATATAAAAACAATTTACACATTAAAAGAACAGATTGTTGATCCAGGGAATATCCAATTGCCTTATGGGATCAGGAAGAATGTTTCCTCTGATGGAGCAAATTGAACCGTGCTTTACAGGGACTTTTTGCCCTACTTTGGATCAACTGTGAGCATAGGGTTCTGTTTATGGAGGTATATATTCTCTATAAGTTGAACTCGATGGACTTTCTTTGACCTGACTAACTATGTTACTATGTTATTCATTTAGTGCACTAGTAACAGTTGAATGTGGAGAAAAAAAAGCAACTCTTACATTGAGTTGGACGGTACTGGGAAGGCACACTGTTCCCCGTACTGGTAAGGCACACTGTTGTCAATGGGCTAATAAATTAGTGTGTTTCAAGTAGATGGTAGATTTGTATCAGTGGATTAAATTATCTCAAAAAAGTTTTTTTTTCTTGTTTTTATCACTCACTTATCAATGTACTGCTCAGATCCCCTACACCAGGGGTCTCAAACCTCCGGCCCTCCAGCTGTGGTGGAACTACAAATCCCATGAGGTATTGCAAGATGCTCACAGCCACAGGCATGACTCCCGAAGAGAGATGCATCATGGGATTTGTAGTTTCACCACAGCTGGAGGGCCGGAGGTTTGAGACCCCTGCCCTACACTGTTCCCAAAAGCTATAATCTACGCTGACAGCTCAAACACACAAGAAGCTAGGCATGTTGACAACCAGCCAGCACAGCTACTGAGCATCCCAAAGTCAACATGTAGCCAAACTGTGGACATTTAATATTGTATTTTCTTAACAAGCAATAAATGGGATGAAAAGTAAACCCTTACTGATCTATGTAGCTGTAGGCACTGTGGGGAAATTATTTTCAAAGTTTACAGCAGAAGCAGTGAAGTTCTTCTCTTACTGTCTCAACTCACCCTATCCCCCCTTCCCAACAGTGACTTGGCAGGCTTCCAGTCTTCTAATCTCTAATGTAAAATACAGAGCGGGTGTTCTGGGGGATGAGCAGAGAGACGTAATCTGCTAAGAGAATTACTTCAGTGACTTCACTGTGTCCGCTGTGAATTTGAGAATAAATTGTTCCACAGTACCTGCAGCTAGAAAGGCCAGTGATGGCTTGTTTTTGTTTACTGCTCATTTAATGCTTGTTAAGAATATGCAAGTACCGAATTGTCCATAATCAGACCCTGAGTTTGCTTTAAGCTCTAATGGGTTTTGTAGTATGAGTGGGGTGTACATATACGTTCGGACATTTGTCTATAAGTAAACTGCTATGGGCAACTTGAGTATAGGATAGATATCAATGGATAGCGCTTAAACCACTTGTAAGCATTCAATAGAGCTTCAACTAAATACAATTTACAGATTCCGCACCAGAAAATGATTGGTTATGTACTGAGGCAAAGAACAGGAAAAAGTACATTATGTTCTTACTTTTTTTTTTTTTACTGGATTGCTCAACAAAGATATTGGTCTTGCCAGCACATTTTTCTCTAATAATCCACTTAAAGGAGAGCCCATGCAAAAAGTGTGTGATGGGAAAAGTAAGCTCCTGTCCACTGGCTTGAAAAGTCCCAATACTATGTATTTCCAGGGCATGTTTTCCTTCGGAGACTTACTGTATCTACGCACATAGGAAGTTTACAGCACCAAGGCAGAGGGAGCGAGAGAATATCAGGACTGAACAGAAATGATACGGCGATTTACTTTTTTTTAAATTTCCAGTGTTTGTTTTGCTGTTTTCCATTGGATTGTATTATTATTATTATTGGTGGTATTTTATAAATATTGGATCATAAAGAATAGTTGGCGCCAAGATTTTCTACCACAGTCCACAAGTAGTTAACTGGCTCCTCCTGCTATCTACTGGTAAAACGAGCCTAGCTTGTTCTTCCATCGTTAAAATAAACATCCCTCGTTATTTAATTTAGCCCAAACAAAAATTCTTTTATTTCACATCAATATAAGGAAGACATTCATAAAATCGGCCTGTCAAACTGAACTTTTTCATCTTTTTCCCCCAGCACAAACTTACCAACCGGTCTATTTACACACACAACTTCCTCTTAAAACAATGCCAGAGCAATTTAATTGACTCATGGTTGGCCTTCCTAAAGGAGCACAAAGGAAGGATATGTTATAAGACCGCTCCATTAGGATTTCTTTCACAGCTGTTGTCTTATTCCACGCACTACTCACACTACTGTCTATAGAACTGACAATCAGACACAACCATGGTGGACTTGAGGGAGTTTTGTGTCTCCATTTGGGTTGCATGTCTATGGGTGATGACCCTTTTCAGTATGTATTCCATTTTAAATGCTGTTTACAAAGGATTTCTGAGGCTTTTGGTTGTCTGTCTTTCAATGATACTGCAACACTCATTTAGAGTCTTTATATAATGATTATATTAAATTAACCTATTTCCATAAAATCACAGAATATTGGTAGAACTAAAGGTTTTTCTCTTTGGACTCTTACTTTATATAGATGTTTGGGGACTGCGGTGTCCTAAGTGCCCAAGGCCTGTGTACAAGAAGCACAGCAATAAATACCCTACTTTATATTAGTTTACTTACATGATAACTATATGTTTATATATTTCATTTGTATGTTAAAATAATTCTGTTCTTATGTAACTAATAAAATGATATGTGACATCTGCTCAGTTCATTGGGCTAAAAACAATGTGAGTATTTGTGTGTGTGTGCAAGTTACAGCGCGCTCTGCCATACAGTTTATCAATAAAACAGATTATTGCTCTTAGTCCAGGAAGTGACCTTGGACGTAGCTGCCCATTGCTGCCGACCTTGGGAATTTCTAGATCAGAAAGCGGATTCAGTCATTGATTCTAGGGGAATTCACTGCAATGAAGTTTTTATTTGATATTTTTTTTTCCTTGTATTGTTGGATTATTTTTCTTTTAGTGGCACAGTCAAGTTAGTAGACTGCTGACAAGAAGTAAAATGACCTGCACAATCGCCTTGCAATAATGGAATCAGACAAACTTGCCAAGCGGTGCACTCAAATAATATTCACTAAGGGTTTTTTTTTATATATATATCTATATATGTATATATACATATATAGATATATATATGGTCACAGAAAAAGTTCCTTCTACAAGCCTCTCCAGAATCGTTCATTATATGCATGTTATAAAATGTTATTCTGGGGCCCATATTTATGATAAGGTGGTAACTAAACGCAGTATATGCTTATATATTTGTACCTTTTAACACAGGAATGTTTTATTAGAGAACATCAAGAGCTCACCATAGATCAGTTCACAATCTTGCAAAAAATATACCACCGAGGCTAACTTATAAAGACTGAAGGAGACTTATAAAGACTGTGCGGCCTATAACGACATGACAGTATCCATCTCTGTTCTAGGTCAGGTTACTTATATTGAACAACACTTACACCTTCCTCTTCTGTAACTCATACAAAATTGTCTTGCTGGGAAAGTTCCTTTTTAACTTTTATAAGATAACACAAGACGGACAAGGACAGATTTTTTTTGCATGGAAATTAATTTTACCATTGTAAAATACATAATTTTCCACCAAAAATATAATTTTTATCATTTGCCTAATATGTAATAAATGCTTAATTTCTGCATTTTGCTGATTGGAATTCTTTATAAAAATCCTCTGCTGTCCAGAAATGGTATAATTTGGCTTATTACTGTATGTTTTCTTCTTGTGGTAGCAAATCGAGCACTTGCACTATTCAGATAAAGGCAGTATAAAAGTGCAGGCACTTGCCTTTTGAGCCACCAGTGTCCTTCGCTGGCCTTTCTCTAACATCTGACCTCTTGTTATGTCTCACCCGTAATTGTGTGCCACTTGAAAATCAGCGACAAGGTCTCATCGTGTGGCTTATCCTTTTAAATGATGGGGCATCTGTTTCCAACTCTGTCATCCACGAAGCTTGTTAGTACCAAATCCCCCAAATAGCCAGATGAAATATTAATCCTGTGTATTTTCATTAGATAAACTTAATTACTCGCATCTGATAAACTGATTGTCTCTGCAGTGCAGACGATTCACCCATAAACATCAACACTTGTATCCCTGGCACGAACTGGAACCTGTCACCTCTATCAGACAGTGCCAGGGTGACCCCAGGGGACGCAAGATGCCATTTCAAACATCCTTGTGTACATGCAGATATCCAAATACGTTTCCACACTGCTACTGTGTCCGGTGTAATGCACACAAGCAGGTAATAATACATCCATGCACAGGCAATGATATCAACTCATATCTATAATGGAATAAACATTTTGGCTTTGTTTCCTAAGAGCTTCACCAGTGATAAATACATATCATTTAAAATCTATACCTGTGTAAATAGCTCATTTCACACGGACAATGTATACTTCACGTAGATGTACTCTTCATTTGCCATTATTTGTACATGCAGTCAAGATAAATTCTCAATTACACATGCAGTTGCAGTAAGCAAAGCGTTAACTGCAATTGTTAAATGGTACAGCAGATTGCCCCAATAAATAATTTACTGATATTTATAAATATTCAAATCAGCAG